CGCCTATCTAAAACCAATTCATGCCAAGAAATATTTTTTGTTTCGACTATTTTTATATTACGTTTTTATTAAGTATACGTAAAATACAGCATACGTTTTTTCTAAAGATTAATTTAATAGATTTATTTTCATTTATTCAAATTCTTAGATAATCTAGTTTATTGGAAACTTAAAATTTATTTTCTCAATGTTCAGATTTGATCCGCAGACTTAACATGTAAAGTTATTCTACTTTTACTAAAGCTTATGTATGGTACGATACGAAGCAATTTTTTTTAGAGGATTTTAGCAAAGATTTGAGACGTCACACCTAGAATACTTAGAGCGAGGATATACTGTCTTGCATAGTCTGCATCTACCTTTTGATCCTCATTGATCCGAATGAGCAATCGGATAACTTATCGCTTAAGAAGGTTCCTGAACACACATCCTTTTACAAGTAGGAGTTAATGAGTCGGATATAGCTGGAGAAGATAGGGATGGTGAAGTTGGCGCTGGGGATGCTGAAATTGACGATCTTGGTGAATTACGAGAATTCATCATCAAATACGAGACTCGAAATTGAATATAAGCTGTGCTGGACGACCTTTTTTTCGTGACGGAATTTCACTCTTGCATTGAAGAAGTTCATTGGCTATATCTAATTGAAAATTTATTAGAGTCACGTGTCTTCCTCCTCACAACTAGCGGTGCGTCAGCACCCCGGGAAATACAATAGGCTTAAGCAACGCACGCAATTATTAAAATTAAGAGCTCTCGATCAACAACTCTACCCATTCTGCATTACTTCGCAGAGTTGGCAAAACCACATTTCGAAACCCAATTCCCAACTGCACCTTCCGGGATGCAGCCTCAGCAAAACCACCCTGACCCACTAAAAATTGTCAACGAAGCACCAAGCTTTGACCTAGTTACCACACCACACATTTATTGTTATCCAATAACCTTAAGTCAGCAGGAATTAATTATTTCCGGGTCTCAGGTGCGATCGCCAGCTGCATAAAAGGGCCAAGATCGGCCGAAAGAGCAGGCAGTCCATCAGTCCATCAGCCCGAACACGAGACACTGACTAAGCAGTCCACCGGCTCACAGGCCAAGTAACAAGATTCGCGAGTAATCCATTGAAAACAAGCCCCCGAAGAATTAAGTGAATGAAAGAATAAAGAATTAACCAAGAACCACAAAAGAAAAAACCACCGCATCATCATTTCTTCCATTGCCTACTGTATTTCAAGGCCAGCTCGAAACCTGGAGTTCTCCTACAATCTACAAATTTTCTTGTAGAGGACCCTGGACAGACTGAAGCATACCTCAGCCTGAGATATGACCTTACACAATTTTTAAGGCGGTTTTCGGCGAATAGTTCTGACAGCGAGAATTCCTTTTTCTTTCAAAGCATTCATTAAGCTTACTGACGTGAACCAGTTATCAAAAAAAACTTGAAGTTTTGCTTTTCGGGAAGTTGTGAAGACAAATACAGGACTATATCCGAAAACATTCCAAGTCCAAAGGAGACATAAGTTCCGGATACGCCAGCCCTTGAAAATATTTTAAAGCCCCAGTTATGTGGCTTCTTTGCAAGGTATTGCTTCAAGCTATGTTGATCTGCAGAATAAAGGTGCTTGTTTTTTTATATGACCATGCATTCGAAGTAAAGGTATTTTGGTATGCATACAAATTTTTTTCATCACAGATTTTTTTTGCAAAATTTCGTCTTGAAGCACATATAAAAGTATAAAAAGATATTGGTTCTTTAGTCATTGAACCATTGATGGATCTTTGCCATGAGTTTGTTGCTTCCTTTTAATTGCTGCTTTTTTTTCTCCATCTCAAAGTTCCCTGATTTACTTTTTCGAAAATTCCCTGCACCGCGCAATTGCGCGTTCATTCCCATTTGATCGATAAAAGTTAATATCAATATGGGTCAGGGGACAAATGTCATTTGTTCATAGTTCACCGATTTTTTGTGTTGTTTTGGGTATAATAAAGTGCGGTTGCCAAAACGATGGCATATTTAACTAAAATATTTCCATTTCCAATCAAACAAAGATTTTTTTTCAAGACAAATTTTGCAAAACAATTTCGGAATAAAACACTATCGATAGGAAAAAGTTACGAAAACAGGAGCTCACAGAATTTCAATTCGCAGGAATTGTTCCGAAATCGTAATCAAAAAAATTTACGAAAACCGGACCATAGCGGTATGTGTATTCTAAAAGTTGGACCATCATCCTGCATACACTCACACATAAATTATTCAATGAATCTTCCCTTACTGCTTGTAATGCTGTCTCCAAAGGATATATTTCTGGCATTGAAATTACCAGCCATTATACCTTCTAGTAACGGTATAATAGTGTTGGGTAAAAACCTTTCAATTTACTGATCAAGTTTGTTCGTTCGTTTTTATACAGTGAACTAAATCGTTCTGTTTTGTTTGATCTTTTTCGTTCGTTCTTTTTGTTCATCGTTCAATTTTTAGCTCTGATTTATATTTGTAAGCCTATGTGTAAAAAATGTACTAAAATTTATGGACGTTTTAACTTCGTAAATTTATTTTAATGCTTCAAGCTTTGTTGATCTGCAGAATAAAGGTGCTTGTTTTTTTATATGACCATACATACAAGTATAAATCAGAGCTAAAAATTGAACGATGAACACATGGCAGTGATTCACAGTGGGGTCCCAGCCGAAAAGAAGTGTCAAAAGTCAAAATATTTATGAGCGCTTTCAGCAATCAAACTTTAAAGAATATCGGAAAATCTTTTTTTCCTCAAGGAACCAAAGCAACTTTTTCTGAAAGATTTGGGGCTTGGAAATTGTTTGATGAAATATGTATATTTTTTCTATTGCACAACTTTTTGTAAAGAATTTTTAAAAACTGTTATTTTGTATGCTTTTTTTAGAGGTGCTTCTTTGTAAAGAGCTTTGCCATTCTTTAAAGCTAATTGATGAAGCCAGAAATTGAACCCAAGCACTTTGTGGTTTTAGCTAACTATCTGGGAAATATTAAGCTTTGAAATGCATTAATTATGATTGTTATGCGATATTTTTTACGAAATTTCGATTTTAAAAACTTTAAAATTTTTGGAAGTTTGTTCAACCAATTTAAGATCAAAAATTTTAATGAGCAATACCGTAAACGACGCCTAACTACTGCACCTATACACAAAAAACGAGAAGGAACGTGTGAGTCGCTTCTGGGGAAGCTACTCTACTTATACCCGTACTCAGTCAGCATATACATTTTTGCGCATATGATTTTTTAGAGTTTTAGAATTTTTTAGAATTTTGGAATTTAAAAAAATATTTTACATTTTACATTTTTTCGCTACAACTGTTATCTACATCTACAATGTATATTTAACATATAACATGTAGATTATAGATGTACCATTTATATTCTACATCTCCCCCGCTGGGGGTTGCTCGCGCACTGAACGAGGCAGAGTGTGCGAGCGAGAAAGAGAATGAGTAGCGTGTCTCTGTCAGGAGGAGGCGGGGGAAGCAACTGAAAATTAATCTCTTCATTCTGGCTGTTATTATGATCCGATCTGATTTAGATTCGGCAATATGGTAGATATGGTCATTCTCTACGATACTGCGTTGTTTGTTTTATCGTATCTTTAAAATTGTGCCTGCCACTCACTTAATTCCTTTAAAGTATAAAGTTTATACAGAAAAATGTTATCAGGAAATAAGTAAAGGCAGGCTCCGGCTTTCACTTTCGCGAAAAACTCCGATTTACTTTTGAAAGCGGAAAGTTTCGTCCTCCCGCATTCGGTAATCGTAAAAATTTTCAAAGCTCTCAAAGCGGCAAGAAATTTCTCGCAGAAATGAAAAGTAAACAGCTTTTATACATCAAAAGGAATCTTAATTGTAAAATGAAAAAATAGATGACTGATTGATGCATTGACATGGACTTGATACCATTGCCAGTGCAACTGAGCTTGTGCCCGTTGTTTAAATAATTTTTATTTAAGCTAACCTCAAAATTGGATCTGAATAAATTGGTCTGTGCAACAAAAAATGTGGAATTCCTCCGAACAGCTGTGGCAGCCCGATTTAGCTATCGCTAAATCTTTGGTAAATATAGCAGAGGTCTTTTTGTATGAGCTGGCACTAGCGCGTGGGTATAACAGGAGTAAATGTTGCGCTTAACAGTAAAGAGAGTAAACAAATTCACAAAAGTGGATAATGAAAAGTATGACTTTTGAGTCGCTTCTGTGGACGCGACGAAACTTTTGAAATACACTTGTAGCAGTGTGATATCACATGAGTTTGGAAATAAAATTTGCTTGGTCTAGTTCTTATAGTCTCTGAGAACAAGGAGCTCATCAAGACGGACAGACAGACATCCACTTTTACCACAAATACAATATACCCCTTAACTCTTTTTGAGTACGGATATAAAAACCTATGTGTAGTTCCTATCTGGGGTTGCGTTACATTCGTACGACAAATTGTTGAAAAATATAGTCAAAAAGCCGAAATTTGGAAAAAAAAATCCTTGTTGTATATGAATTGGCTATCCCTATGTTCACCATAAAAAATGGGAATAATCGAGCATACGGTTTTAAAGATATTAGCCAAAATATGACTTTAAATTGCGTTACGTAAAGAAGAAGTGGTTTTCGAGGTTGGGGTACAAAATGGCCGAAATCTGCGAATTGGGTAGGGGTATCTGCATACAAATTTTCTGTGCATGTATTTGAAATATGTAGTGTTGATTTTCAAAGTTATTTAATTTAAATTTTTCCCTTGGTCCCGGCATCCCGCGTGAACCGATTTGGACCGATTTTGCTGTTCTGTTCTCTTTTCATTTCTTTTTTCTTTTCTGTTGTGTTTGTTATTGTCAGGAGAAGGTTCTTATGAAAGAAAAAATTAAGAAAATTACGCGGAAAAATAGAAAATTTAAGAATACTCTGAAAATGTTAGTATTTTTGTATAAAGAAGGCCTTTCCAGGGCTGTCAAACGTTTGTTTGATTTTTATATGGAAAGTGTTACATAAATAAAAAAAAATAAATTCAGTCGGTTTAGAGTATAGTTCAGATGAAATAATCTGTTTAGAATGATTTGGCTAATTGTTTAAAAATAGTTTAAAAGTGCTGAAAAAGTCGGAAAAAGTCTGCCCTGCGCATTGTATGCGCGCCCTCTAGCGGAGGAAATGTAGAATCTACACTGTAGATGTAGATGATAGATGTAGCTCACATATGTACATATGTATATGCTGACTGAGAACGGGTACAAAAGTAGAGTCGTGGCCATAGAAGCGACTCAACGTTCTCTCTAGTTCATATTACAGCTCAAGTGTTTATACTCTACATGTAAATGCAACCACTGTGCAGCGGTGGGGAGCGGACAGAGCAGCAACTTCTGCTGCTACTTCAACGAATAAATATTCAGAATGCAATTACGCATTTAATTTTCTAGCACTTATCGAGTCGTCTTACCCTCTTGTTATTACTTGTCCCTTATATTTTTGTTGGTGCTGTACGAGTTGCTGCTGAAAACTTACTTAACTTTTTGCAATGTCATTTGGGAAAGTTTGTAATCTTTTTCGGTAGTGCATACTTCAAAAGTGTCAAAGGAAAGGAAGCTAAGAAATTATTTATACGATTTTCAGACAGTCGAAAGCATAAAACCCGAGCATTAATAAAACGCCTTCGCTGCCGGGACTACTTATTCCCTTCCCTTCGCGCACCCCATCCCGGGTAGGAGCACGATCAGACAGGAAGCTACTGACAAACTACCATGGAGTTTCTCTAACTGCCAGACGAACTTTCAAAAATGGTGTTTCTACTTTCCATGCGCTTAATTTGTGTGCTTTAGGCGAAAGAAGCTGTGGATATTCGTTTAAGCGCTTGCCGCTATTCAAGAAGGCTGAAATGTTACTTTTCCTTTTCATTCAGCTGCTGCTCGTGGTAGCCACCGTAGAAGGCAGCGATGGCAAGTTACAAACCGTCATCCATTGAAGTCTGCTAACCAGCTGCCTTCTGATTAATGCAATGTTTTTCTTAGATATTTATCTATTCACAGGCTCGCATCCGCAGTCGTAGCTTGCAAGCACTTCGAAGCCGCTGGTAAATACCCTAACCAACAAAAACAGCTGTCACCGTATACTTTTAGCTAATCCTCTGCATTTTTGCCTCCCCTCCCACAATTATAGTGCATAGAACCCTGCAAACGTGCGAGAAACAGATGGGCATATTTCCCGTGTATTTGCGATGTTCATTCAGCTGCAGCAACAGACACCAATTGAGGTAGGTGAAAAGGATTCCACTGTCGTCTTTGAGAACACTGATTACAACTAGTTTCTGTCACGTCCTAGTGTTTTCAATTTCCATCTCCGCACCAAGGAAAAGGACAGCTATCCACTGTGCAATGATCTATACTGCAGCGCTATTAGCATGCCCCCTCAGCCGACCAGCACAACGCCGGCTCCAACAGCGGCAGAATCTATACGGTCATCGGCAGTAGGTATACAAACATCAACCGAGGGAGTTTCCGGCTTAAATGATAGTTTAGCTACCGGTACAAGCCGTGATACGATCCCCAGTATACAAGTACATCAGAAAAACAGTACAAAAAGTGACGAAAAGTGATGGAGTCTCTGAATCTCCCAATGTCACCAGCGAAAAGACAGCAGATACAACAACAGAGTGAACAAGTCAAACCCAAAAAGGTATCCCCACATAAACAGTACAAAATACAAAACATGCAACAAAGATACAACAGTTTAATCATCAGCAGATAAACCAACAGATGAGCCTCATCAGAATGATGAAACATTAGAGACATCATCAGTCTTACGAACAGACACTACAGAACATACAACATCAGATGAACTTACAGATGCACCAACAGATGCACTTGTCGATACACCAGAAGAAAAACTGTCAGATGCACTTATCCCTATCCATACACAAGAAGATACGAAAAGATAAACATCAACAAGGGAAGTAGTTGATGCAACGTCAAACTCAATAGCAGTTATCTAGGTTGAGTCAGATCGAAGAGCTATCGATGGGATTGTCTTTTATTTCACACTGACGAATCATCGATAATTATAATTAAATGTAGCTATCGCTTGCACCAGAAACTAAAATTAATCGTCGAGTTAACCGATTATAGCTATTGTCTGTACTTTAAAATTTTTATTTATGAGTAGGCTTGTGTGGGGAAACAACAAATCCAAACAAGAATAAATATATTTTGTGGGTTCGGAAACAGTTCCTTCTGGAATCAACATTCTAATAAAATGAGCCACTTTACTCTGGTATAAAAAAATAAAAGACGGAATGACGCAATGCCTTAAGGACTGCCATTTGCTCCAATTTAGCCATAGTTGGTACATATGTATGCAGTTGCATATATATTTTTTCTAGAAAAAAGATCTAATAGATCCTACCTCAAAACCATACAAGGCAGGTAGGGCATGTGTACACTTAAAGATCAAAATATCCGATGGATGTCTCTGCTTCAGACGCCTTCTCCTAAGATGCGCGAAGAGTTCTGGATATCGTCCATGTCGTTGCTCTACGGTTTTCAGTACAGAGAAGCCAGTCGAAACTTGGCGAAACTCATGTATCACATTAATGCCGTTTATATTGTACGTATATATTCCCACTTAAGCGTCTCAAGTAAAAGTGACCAGGTGGCTGTTGGACTGCACTGTGTCTTTCATCAAGGGGAACAGCATTCAAACTCGTTTGGGAAGCTTGGACCAGATAAAAATCCTTCCTTCGTGAGGACCTTGCTAGAGTAGCAATGCCATGACCCGAGGACACTGTTGCAGAACCCAAAACGAAGTAGAATCAGAATTTGAATGAGACGGACTAGTTAATGGAATAAATTTAAACCAAATACCCAGATTTTGCTTGGCACTTTTAATTTAAAGTTCCCAGGGTCAAGGTTATAGGAAAACCCTGAATAAGTAGGTATATATGACGAGAGCATCAACTAAGTACCATCTGATCTGCTTAGACTTGCTCCAATGGATAAATCCCTGTTTCCTTTTGTGATTCCATTCGAGCTGCTCACTCAACTTGCACTTGACATTATTGCGCTTGTTGGGAAATAAACGATTATTATGACAAACTGTTTTAGTCCAATCTCTGGGGTTTGTTTCTCATGCGATGTGACATGGCATCAAATCGCAATTGGACCTGGATTAGATTGGGGGCATTAATCACGGGCATCAGCTTGTCGGGCTGGAGCATGGGATATGGGCATTGAGCATTAGGCATGGGTAAAACGCAAAAATTTGCGATGCAATTTTTTTCTTGATTTAATCAAGAGCCGTAGCACAAACGACAATTTAAAAAAATAAACTTACACACACACAACGAGCACAGAGAAAAGACTGTCCCACTATACATTGCGTATACATAATGCCGACTAAATAATAGCTGTGCCACGCTCTGCTCGCTTTACTGCCGTTCTGTTCCGTTTTTTTAATCTGTTCTGTTCTGCTTTGTTCTCAAAGGGTCTGTGTGGTGTGAGCTAAGCGCGTAGTTTGCACACGCCCGCCGAATCACAGAGATGTACAAGTTGGAGAAGATCTGGGTCCTGCTGTGTCTGGCCCTTGTTGGCTGCCAGGGCTTTGGCCAGTTCCACATGAAGCACTACCAGCTCCAGCGCAACTACAACGCCCAGGAGGACTCCGGGGAGAACGACAACAGCGTGCTGCGTGAGTGCTCAATTACGTGTGTCCGCCTGTCCTGTCCTTTCCTGTCCTGTACCGTACTGCTCTGTCCTGACCAGAGCTCGGACTCATACTCAAACTAACTTGTGTATGTTTGTTGTTATGCAGGAACCTTCCGCCGCTGCATGTGGGAGCAGTCAAAGTTCCTACCCCGTCGTCTGGTCCTGCTCAGCCTGTGCTCCAATCTATTTTGCGAGAACAACCACATAATGCCTCGCTCCAGGTCTATTTTCGTAGTGGAAAAAATATCTAGACCGAATGAGTAGTTGACCAATTCAATAATAAATACATACATACATACATATATAGCTATATCTGCATGTGCATCCTCATCCAGCATGAAAACTTCCGCTTCTTCACCCATTAACCATTCAAAATCAAAGGAATGTGAACTAATACCTTGTCACCTACCCAACGTTTCCTCCAGCTGCCTTGACATTCTCCCCGACCAGTGTGAGCAGGGCGACGAGGAGGAGCTCATGTACAAGCCCTTTCCCGACTGCTGTCCCGTGTACTGCAATCTGAAGCGGCGTATGCAGCGCTTGCGCACCATGCACTTACGCCACCGCGTGCTACGCAACATGCAGGAAGGATCTACTGCTGGAGCCGGCGGCGGAGGCGGTTCGGGAGGCGATGGCCCTACCAACTCCCTTCTCAGCGAATTTGTCTACAGCAACTATTAGAGAATCGAGTTACTCTGCGATTTGTGAAATTGTAAACTTTCATCTTTGAATTATAGGCATTTTGTCTTCAAGTCCCGCCCTCTGACTCTATTTAATTTTAGTCCGTCTAGACAAGCCCTCTACAGGGTCGTCAAATCGTTTTTCTGTACTCAAGTCCAAAGGTTGCCTTCAATTGTGATTTTTTGAAGTCACTAGTTCAATTGCCCCGATGCTTTTCCTTCGTTTTCCCCGGCTTCCGGCATAGACTGCAGCATTAGTTCGGAGCGAAGTCAAGCTTGATGCAGGCAACTGGCCTCTGTATTCTTCTTGTATCTGCATAGAAATACTACATTTAATTTTCATAGCCGAGACTCTTGATTAGAGCCCTGCATGTATCCACATTACGTATATTTATATTTAAAGCCTATTACTCATACTCGCAAAGTTTTCCGTCGACCGAATCAGGTATGATATTCGTATGGAAACGATAAAAATGCATGCCTGTATTTCGGACGACAGAAAATTTAGCAGCGGGCGTTTTGCAGACCGGTACTGACTTCGGAAAAGAGACAAGCCGATATATACTAGAAAAGCAACCGATGCTATTTTCCCCTTCTCGAGCGAAATAAAGAATTATTCTATCTTTCGTCATCCAAACAACACACACACACACACACACTTTAAAAATGGAAGGAAACAAGTGCAAGTCAGTTTACAAGTGCAATAATGAAGACAAATTAAATCGAATTGAGGCTGTCGAATGAATACCGATTATATGTATATTATTTTTAGCGCGTCTGAGTGCTAGGATTAATGCTAGAAAACGTAAACACACACGCAAATACATAAAGTTTTTCAGGCAGAAGGAGAAGCGGAAAAAATACCAGAAACTTTTGTGTTGCTTTCTCCTTTGTTCTATCAGAAAATCACATGGTGAGTGAGCGAGAAAAAAGACGCTACCTGCTTCGTTCAGTCCGTTTTGGGCGAGCTATTCGATGCAATGAGAATGCTGAGACACTGATTCTAACGGACCGAACAAAGTGAATACCTAATCCCACCGAATCAATTCCGTTGACTGTTCATCCTGGGCTCCTGTTACAATATTGAATTTATGTTTATTTAGTCAATACAAATAAGTGGAAACAATTTTATTTTAATTACATATCGATAATATACATTATCGATAGTTAAGTGTATTCACCAAGAAGAAGGCAGACGCCGAGAAATAAAGAATCTGATGGAAGTTAATATTATTAAAACAAATGTGTCTTAATAAAAAGTCATACTTATTACAGCTCCATTGCGTATACATAAGATAATCGACATCAGCTGCCATTTTTATGTTCCTTATTTAAATTTTGTTGCTGTGCTTGCTCATATCTACTCGTATTACGAGCCCTGCACCAGTTCACACTAAGTCGAGTTAACAGTCAGGAATCACACTGACAACAGTATCTAAACACTTCATGTTTTTTTTCACACTATCATTTCAATTCATTTTGTTTCCTTCATTGCTGAGTCATTGATTCAAGGCTCCTTCATTCATGACTCCTGTGACTCGTGTGATTTCGTATGACTCGCACTCACACTGTAACGCAAATCGTTGTGTCAGAGAGACAGTGTATATCGTTGTGTATTTTTTTACTCGGTGTAGTGTCGAGTTTCGTACCTACATACAGGTTTATTCACATGGCAAGTAGGAACAAATTTTTTACAAAAGCTAAGCTTTGACCGATAATAACAATATGAAGGATAGTCCGTAAAAAAGTTTAAAAATACTAATTACACTATTAATATTTTTATTATATTATATTTTATTATTATTATTGTTATATATATGTATGTATATGTATACATAAATATATATATTATTATATTATTATTAATAAAAAAAGGTTAACATTAACATTTCTCTCATAGTGCACTGTGTAACGGTGCGATTCCAACCAGTGCACAATGGGCCAGATTCTTTTTTTTTTTGCATAAGCTCGTAAATCAGATTCAGATGTTTTGTCAACTGTTTGTCTGTCAAAATAAGCGGAAAGCTTTAACGGAACTTTGCGCTTTGTTGTAGCAACACCATGTATCCAAATCTTTGCTGACAAAATGGAAAATAAAGGTAGTCCAAATATTACTGCTATTAAAATATTTCGAATTATGCGTTCAATGTTGTAGTTTTTAATTGTTTTTTTTGTATGTCTTACTTTGGACGTTTGACGTAAGATCATTTTGTCCTACTGGATGTGTGGATCAATGGAAATCGATATGATTAAGCCTTATTTGACGGAATGAATGGTGAATTACATTTAAATAATGTATCAATTGACTCAAAAGCAAAAATCACAAAAGAAAAAAAAGGTTTCGCTTTTATATTATATGCCACTGATGTTAGTTCTTTGTAAAGGCGGAAGGGGGCGTGGCAAATTTATGAAATACACTAATAACAGTGTGATATTGCATGAGTCTGGAAACAAAATTTGGTTGCTTTAGCTCTTATGGTTTCAAGAACTAGGCACTTCCATTTGTGGTATTCGCAATAAATTTTCTCCCTCGTAGGGATCTTCTTTTACATATTCAATCCTATAATTAAATCTGCTGCCATTATAGGTAACCCTTTGTTTTCACTGAAGATTAAAATTAAACGCTTTTGATCTGTTTTTAGGCTAAAGAAAACTAAAATGAAAATAATTTTTAAAAACTTGTAATTAGGGGAAAAAATGTATTTTCTTACTTAATAGTGGGTATTGCCTCCATGCTTTGAAATGACTTCAGCCAAGCGTTTAGGAATTGAAATTACCAATTTTTTTAGTGTCTTTCTCGTCTATTTTGGCCCTTTCTTCGATAATTGCCTGTTTAAGCACGGTCAAATTTTCAAATTGTCGCCCATTTCTATAAACTTAGCTCGAGAGTATTTCCCAAACATTCTCGATTAGGTTTAAATCGGGACTACATGCAGGCCACCCCAAAAGATAAATTTTTCGGTCCTCAAAGAACTCTCCAGTACATAATTTTTTCGTCAGTACCATTTGAATTTTTTTTCGTCACTGAAGATAACGTTTTCCCGTTCAATTGTTCAAAATTTGAACAAAATCTGCAAATAGCAGACGAGCTGTTTTATGCCTTGGTAGAAGCATAGGTTTGCGTACCATTTTATCATATTTAATGTTATTATCAGATCTTAATATTTTCTATATACGATGGGGGACTGATCTTAAGAGACAGTTAAGCCTTTATATCCCGTGAAATAGCCGCTGTATTTACAGCTAAACTCTTTATTTGTCGTTTTGTTCGTTCAGACACTGTGCAAGGTCGGCCCCTTTTTATTGTTTTATCATATGCATACATTCACAGTCCCCGAATACAAATATGGAACTTTTAACCTGGCGTTATTTTCTTGATATACAAGCACATTCTAAAAATTTTCTGGGTCGTTACAAATGCTTACCAGTTTTTAATAATTTTAAAAAATAACTATGATAATTGAGTGTCCTAATATTTATTTCGACCAAGTATTTTAATTATAATCGACATAAGGATCTGAGCAAGGTTCAAGAATTACGGTCTTATGAATTTGTTCAATCATTTTTTGTATACCAAACTGCACGGAGCACCAGAGTCGCAAACTATGTCCATGTTGAGCCATCAAAATCGCTGGCCTAACACTGTAAATAGAATATTTGTAAATTAGGAGGTGGCGTTATCCCGTGTCAGACGTGGAGCCCAAATAAATCTTTCAACTACTCAGCACGGTTCAAAGTAACTTAATATAAAAAAAAACGAGAACGAACGTGTGAGTCGCTTCTGGGGAAGCGACTCTACTTATACGCGTACTCAGTCAGTATATCCATTTTTAAGCTTATAATTTATGTAGAATTTTAACATAACATCTTTAACCTTCATCTACATCTTCAATGTAAATTCTACATCTAACATAAAGATTCTATATGTACCAATTAGATTCTACATCTCCTCCGCTGGGGGTTGCTCGCGCACTGAACGCGGCAGAGTGTGCGAGCGAGAAAGAGATAGGTAGCGGGTCCTTGGCAGGAGGGGGCCGAAGAACCAACAGAAAATTAATTTCTTCATTCTGGCTATAATTATGATCCGATCTAATTCAGATTCGGCGATCTGGTAGATATGGGCATGCTCTACGATACTGCGTTTTAAGTTTTATCGTATCTTTGAAATTGTATCTGCCACAGATTTTGTGGGTCCTTTGTGGGGCGGAAGGGGGCGGGGCGAAATTTTGAAATACACTTGTACATAGCAGTGTGATATCACATGAGTCTGGAAACCAAATTTGGTTGCCCTCTTATAGTCTCTGAGATCCAGGCGCTCATCGAGACGGACAGACCGACAGACAGACAGACGGACGGACAGACAGACATGGCTGTATAGACTCGGAAATTGATGCTGATCAAGAATATATATAATTTATGGGGTCGGAAACGTTTCCTCCTCTGCGTTACGTTACACACATCCACTTTTACCACAAATCTAATGCAACTCTTTTTGAGTACATCAAACAATTTCTAAGCCCCATATCTTTCAGAAACAGTTGGTTTGGTTACTTGAGTAAAATCGTGTCGGGTAGTGTTATAAAGAATTTAGGTCAAAAAATTATTTCTCGTTCGATAATTTTTTTTTTCTTTTTGCACTTTGAACATTTGGTATACAAAAATACGACCGCCAGTTAGTATTTGCACCTAAATTTTTTATAACTCACGGTCTATCAACGGTTTTTTATTTTGTTTGGAAGGAGTACCTACTCCTGAATTACACAGACACCCAAATTTTGATCTCGAAGCGCAAGGCTTAAGCGTTACCCGATTTCAAAAATTTGTTTACCCTCTTCTTAGAATATCTTAATACAACTTTTCTATACCGACCGACTTAAGATTAAAAAATTTTTGATTTTAAGCTAGGAGAGGCTATACTATACTATCTCCTATACATCTCCTATATTATATTTCCGCGTCCGCGCAGAATGGAGTTTACATCAGCGCGTTTCGTCGATGAACAGATCGAAGAGTGGCTTAAAAATGACACTATCAAAGAATCTCCAGCGGCGCTTACTAGCCCAATAGTACTTATTTAAAAACGCGACGGTTCGGCAAAGTTATATGTTGATTTCCGAAGGATCAATAAGGTGATTGCGCTGCCAGCATAAGCTTCAGCAGAGGAATTAGTTGGATCACAGAAACGGCAGAATCTTCGATAATTTTGTATCATATTTCTATGCAACCATTTCGTCATTGCATCGAACGATTTGAGAACTTTGCTGAAAGCTCGGATTGAGTATAATTTCATGTAAAATCATTTAGAAAAGGATCGAATAGATCAGATAAGATCAGATTAAGGACGGTTCTAAAAGAATATGAAATAGGATCGGAATATTAAACTTAACAATACAGTATTTTTTCAATAACTTTCGTGAACCACTTAATTTGCATGCAGCCAAATTAACAAAGCAGTACCTACATAGTACATAGTATGTAGCCTTCCGTGGGGATAGAAAAAATAAAAGAATAGAATTATTATGCCTCATAATGAATGAAATCAGTTTCAATACTAAACTCAAAAAGTAGGGATATTTTCCTTTAAAAGTCTAATCAAAAGTCTAATCATAATCATCATATTCCGTGGGGATAGAAAAAATAAAAGAATATAATTATTATGCCTCATAATGAATGAAATCAGTTTCAATACTAAACTCAAAAAGTAGGGATATTTTCCTTTAAAAGTCTAATCATATTTTGTATACCAAACATAGTAAATAATATTGCATTACTTATAGTGTCTATAGCGAAGATCCCGTATTATTATTTTTGTTCGTTCTTTTGAGACGGTATCCCTCGACACGTTTCAATATGTCTTCCATGTTGATGAGAATTTTTTTTAGAATTTTCTCTATTTGATCCAAGCGAATGTTCAGGCTAATGCGAAGGGGAGACACGTATTATGATTCAACAAACACTTTGGAGTTCTTACCGATCCAATTCCTTCTCTGTTACTCCGGGTAGATGATTATTTATGTGACGTGCCCTAAAAACGTATTTTGAAGAGGTGAGGACTTCTCACAGGTAGGTTCAAAAGTAAACTTACTCTGCTACTTCAGTGTTGTGTCCAAACACCTCAGTCTCTTCTTCTGCCGCGGTGGCATCCCCACCAGCCTCATCCTCAGGCGGAAATTGACGCTTCCGTCCACAGTGTGTGATCCAGTATAGGGCCACAGCCAGTTTCTTATAGACATACGAGCCCAAAATACTACGACCTTGGGTAATATCATCACTTTTCACCGACTTATAGGTCCCGATGAGCATTGCAATGACCATGTTCTAGTAAAATACCACCTAATAAAAGTATTGCACTTACATTTTAATTAAAGTCCCAGTCTTACCAATAATATAAATACCACAATGACAATGTAGGTTACGAAGAAGATGGGACCCAGTACCCGATTGGCCTGCCCCATGAGTTTGTACTGAAAGTCGCCCAGTATCATACGGATCATAGTGAAGAATGAGGTGAGATAATTTCGGAAATCCGGATGCTCCCTGCCAAAGAGCAAGAGACCCACTTGAGCATATGTCATGCACACAATTCCAAATATAAGACTAAAGCCAGGCAAGTCTTTTGAGCTCTACAAATGTACAAATATTTATTAAGTAGGATTTTCTAACTACTCGTACTGTACTGTACTCGTATTAAATACCCTTTTCACTGTCGCTGTGAACTGAAATAGTGACTTATTAAATGTGATGAACTTAAATATCTTGATCCACACGAGGCAGTCTAATATAGCCATCATCTTCCCGTAGATGGTGTTGCACAAGCAGAGAACATCGAGACTCAGATAGCCCTGGTCCACCTGGGCCTTGGATATAATAGATTTCACTTCGAAGGTGTGCCACACGTTATAGACGATAGCCAAATAACATAGCTGGAGGAAACTAGGGGTAAAATGGCAAAATATATCCATGGGTAATACTTACCAACAAAACACTTCCGTCGATAATATGCAGGACTGATTTGAAGTAGATTTTGCAGCTAGACTGGCCTAAGTGTGTGATAAAATTGAAGGTGTAGTAAAAAACCATGATGTACCAGAATATGTGGACAACAATCATGGTCAGACTTGGGTCGGAGAAGAAAGAATATTTCTTAACCGTTTGAATGTGTGCCCGCGGCATGGCACCCCCAGTCGGAGGGAGCTCAACTATAAGTCTAGAACGTTTTAAAATAGCTTAAGCCCAACTCATACGAGTATTCGGTCAGAATAAGACTCTTACTTGACACTCTGAAATACACCCATATTCTCGTTGTGCAGATTGAACTCCACCAAACACAGCCTCGAGCCTCGATCCAGCCAATTTTTTTCCTTCAGTTCATTGAGCTTTTTTTGATTCTCATCCTTGTCGTAGGTGAGATCAATGGAGTATCCGCCAGCAGCATACACGGTCAGAAGAGTCCAGATCGGTGTGGCGTATAGTTCACCCATCGTCCGGTACGGTGTTCCCTTGTGCAGTTCAACATTCTCCTCGGCCGCGTTCGTAAACTCGGAGTAGCAGGAGTTGAAGAAACGAACGAAGACCTTGTTCATGTGGCAGCTCCCCCTGCGGACACGTATCTGGCGGAGTCGCGGTGGACCGAGCATGAGGTTCTCGTGCAGTAGCACACGCTGGGGACCGGGCTCGCTGATATTGATGGCTGCAGCGCCGCAAGCCTGCCTCATGGCGATATCTCTGGTATTCCAGTTCAGGTCGATCCCATCGGAGCTTGCAGTTCGGTCAACATACTGGAACTTGCCTTCGGATAGTTCGCCTGCATCGCCTTGTCTACCTCTTCTGGGGCGGTCTTCATTATCAACCGCAGAAGTTGTGAAATTCGGCGTTGGACACACAGAGGTACCAGAAGTCGTTATTGTCATGCCTCCGCGTAATGTGATAACAAAGTTGTACTCCAAATAGTCCCACCAGTCCTGGACAGTAAGCAACTTATTAAAGGAAATCGTCACCGATGGAGCCACGACCATTTCGCGAAATCTAAACAGTTTTTGCATCTTGTCATTAAAGTGAAAAGTGTGCGGGTGACGCACTGAAACAGTAACTAAAATAAAAAATTAAACATTTTGGATTTTGGTAAGCTCAATGACTAATAAAATGCCCTGGTAAATGTGATGACTTTACAGCAAGGGTCGGCACGGCCCTATCTATTGCGCTTAGAAAAAAACGTTGCTGCTGCGCTGCCGCTCACGCACACGTGTATTACAGTGCACTATGGTGAAAATTCCCATTTTTCGGGTATTTAGTCATTTTCTCAAAGTATTAAAATTGGTTGTTTTTTTTTGGTAACATATTAAGAAAATTTCAAACTGTAAAGTCCAATACCAAATATGTTATGTAACATATCACTGTTAAGTCTAACAGCTGTTAAAGTCAGCTGTTGCCGTAGAAAAGCACTTGCTTTAAGATTGCAATATTTTTGCAGCCTATTTTCAAAATGCCACTATTCAAACGCGAAACATTCTTTTAAAATTTAAAAAGGATAGCCATCACACGGGCTTAAACTATGTAATGGTTGTGCTAATATTTTGTATAAGTAGGAAACGTTCTCAAAGCACATTTCTTGGAAATATATTTCAAGTTCATGGAGACATATAACAAAACTAGAAGGGTTGATAAGTATACGTCCAATTGTATGTCGTAGAGCTAATAATTTTGATTTAAAGGCAGTTTATCTAAATGCACACTTTTGCGCACTATCTGCGCAAATTAATTTTTTGCAGCGGACTTCGAGTTTTCAAACGCGCAGCTGTTTGATGCATGGCGCAAGGAAAATGGCAAATGCAATCAAGAAAATGAGATTCTGGAGCTTTTTAAGAAGAGATTTAATAAAAAATTCATGTTTTAAGACATGTGTGCCGAAACTTGAATGCCAAATGGAAAAAATGCATGCGGAACAAAAATATTTTGAAAAAAAGCATTAAAATTGGTTAATGAGCACAACAAAATTATGCAAAAGCGACTCAAATAGGAACAATAATCGACAAATTGGTCATCCAAAGTTGGCTTACTTGTTAAAGGGGTAGGAGCTAAAAAAACAAGCATCAGCTCTATCAAAAACTCAAGAGCAATGTCTCTTTGTTGATTCAAGCAGCAAGCATAAAGGCCTTGCCCTTCCCATCGATTTTTAAATCCTCTTATTATGTGAAATTGAAGGCCCATATCAAACTTTTGAGGATTTCGAAGATGAATTAAGAAAAAACTGAGAAAATTTATATTAATATTAGCTATTATTTCTTTAGCTCCTGAATTCTATCAAAATTAAGTTTTTCCAAAAGTAAAACTTTATTTTTATGTATAAAGGAGTATTAATATTAGTATTTTAATATTATTACATTTTTTTTAATTTGTGGGCGATAACAGGCCTTCTTTTTCCAAAATGTTTTAGGGGTGTACATAACATTAATCAAAAAACCGCATCGAAAAATCTTGCTTAGTTTAAAAGTTATTAATTAATACCCGAAAAATTGTAATTTTCCCCATAGTGCAGTTTTGCGTTTTGCCTGCTATATACGCACACAATCGCACTGTAGAATATTTGATAGTGTGCGTACCGTCCACTGCCTTACAGAGACTACTACAGAGAAGATGTTGTGGCTAGATGTTTCAAAAGGAACACACGATTATGAACATTGTACGTACATTGTAGAGTCGATCTCAGCGGGTCTAAGCGATGAACTGAGCTAGTTTAATCTTCTTTATGTAGGGAGGACGAGTTTCGAGAGGGTCACTTAAAATCAGTTGTTGGGCGGCGGTCTAAAGCTGTGTTTAACATCTACACAGATGAGGAATCATGGGTGTATAGATATGAGCCCGAAAAAAAAAGAAACCGACTGTCTAGATGTTTTAATTTCGTGCAATGAACTATTCCATCAAGAATCAAGTGGTCGCCTCTTTAAGGCCTGTCTCCAGCACCGCGGAAAATTCGCGCAAGGAATTAGCTAGTTATTCCGTGAGGGTGTGGAACATAGCTAAAACAGGGTTGATGAATCAGAGGCATTGGAAAGAGGAAAAAAATGCACTCTGATGATCAAGTGATTGTGTTGGTGCCGGCATATATTGTTGCAAAACAAAAATAATTTGAATCTCTTTTTTTGGTTTTGCGGACAGTTTTTGCCTACATCTCGCACCATTCACTTCAGGAAGAATTGTAAAGTATATATTCCTGAGCTGGGTATCAGCTGTTCTCTCAGTCCACACACGGTCCCGATAGGCAACTATCGATATATCGATATGGATTCCGCTCGTGTTGCTGGATACACACTCCAGGAATACGTAAACGAAACATTCCTGTCACAGTTTTTTTTATATGGAGTTTGACAGAAATTTTTCGATTCCGCAGTGCTGGATACTATGCTTTAGTCGGAAATTGGTCAACCACAACTTTCTCAATGGAGAATATTAGAAAGAAAAATTCTGAGTGGTAAGTGACCATTTTTTGGCCGAAATTCTCAGTAGAATGGCTGTATATAACCTAATTAAAAAATAAGACCAATGCTAAGAAAAGAACAGATGTGCGGAACTTGCTCGCTCGCTCATCCTTTTATTTTACACTTAATGCATGCATATCACTTGTGTTAATAGATTTGTGTTTGACGCGACCCATGTAAGAATATGATTTTATGGTAAACCTGTCATAAACCTAGGTTTAATTTTTCTCAAGTGGCTTCCTTCAAGTGGACTGTATTGTGTTGGTGTAGGGAATGTGGTTTCCTTTTTATCAACTACAGTCCGCTAATGTGTAAATTCTTTAAATTTGAACGTTTTATTATTATATAACTAGTTTGGGTACCATTTTATATTTTTTAATCGATGCTGAAAATCAGCAAAATGCGGAACGTTGCTCCTTCATTACAACCAGATGTAAGCTACTCAAGCTATATGAAAAAATGAAAGCGTTACCTCTGAAAAAAGCATAAACTAAAAAAAGTTCTGCCATATACAAAAAAAACATAATACCTAAAAAAACGAGAAGGAGCGTATGAGTCGCTTCTGGGGACGCGACTCTACTTTAGGACTAGTTTTTTTTTATTTTTTGCCTATGGCAGCACCACTGTGCAACTGTATCATTTTTTTGTTGTTGGTTAATCAAGTCTTATTTTACCATCCATTTTAGTACCAATGAAAAACTATAATGTGTTAATAAGGAGCGGTGCGTGAAGGATTGTGTGAGAGAGCAAAGCGATCGAGATGGAGCTTTTCAGAAAAATTCTGGCTGAGGGTCTCATTTAAGGCTGTTTCCCCACCTTTTTTGACTTCTTTGGTAATGAAGATGAATTGTTTAGGTACCTAAGCAAAGCAGGGCTCGTTGTTTTATTCTATTCTATTTTTTTATTTTATTTTATTTTTTGTATTATTTTTATATAATAGCCTATAATAATATCTTTGTTTACATGGTTTTACTAAAAATGAATGTTCTACAACTAGATACAAATTCCGACCGTTTCACCAAGTTTTATTTAGTAAAAGAACCACCAGCTTAACGATCGTTCTAATTGAACCGTGCCTGCCAATACACGGGGCGCGGGGCGGGCGGCCGGGGGGGGTAGCTAAACAAATAAATCTTTAAAAATTGTATAAATATATGAATATAAGTGAAAAATTATAAATAGCTGATTTCTTTGGGTGTGCATTTCAATTTTGAATCTGAAACTTCTGCGTAAGGCAGTGTACGATGTCGTATGTCTCATCCATACCTTAAGAGTTTAGGGCTATATTTCATTTGTGCCCTGAAACATAGAATATCACCATAGCTAGCAGACTGCCGAATCTAGATCAGATCAGGTCATGTTTATAGCCAGAATGAACAAAATAATTTCACATGGCTAACCCACCATTTCCAAGTGCCAGCTCATTCTATCTCTTTCTCTCTCTTAAAATCTGCCTCGTGCAGTGTGCACCCTCTAGCGGAGTATATCGAAAAAGGGATTTATATAAAATGAAGCACTTTAGTACGTCCTATTGACCAGATTCTTCTTACGGGCTGATGAACTGATGTTCCCCCAAATGTAAAGATCTCTTTCTGTAGAATCAGGGCGGTCACATAGGTTATGCTCAGATATTTTCTGCTTCATCACACAGAATCTATAGGAGTCATAGGAGTGACAGTGCCCTGTGAGATATCCCTTCAACGTCTGATTGTCGTCCCTGTTCCAGTAGAGAAGCCGCATCGAGAGCGTCTTCTCTGGGATGATGTTAAATTATAAAATAAGCTACGAGCTTTCAATTGAAATAAACGAATATCTAGACGGACGGACAGGCTGCCATGCCATCGGTCGGAAAAGTACATATGTATGTATGTACATCTACACGAATCGAATATAGCCCTATTCATTTTACTTTAAGGGGTTGGCTAGCTGGCTTCTGGCAGCGCAAAAAAAATATAGATTTGTATTTCGAGTACACAAAGAGTCTGTTATGAACTGTAAATTAAAATTTTCAATCATAAATCGATCGGTATATGTATGCATAGAATTTAAATATCGATATTCATCGAATATACATGTGTCGGAGAATAATTAATTTAAGGGAATATCTTTGAATTGCGCGCCCCATTTAAATAGCGCGCGCACATAGTGTGACCAGTGTGTGTTTGATCGCTGTATCAACCCTGTGTGAGCGAGATCCAGTTGATGTGAACTGGATCGAGTGTGGTTCTGTATGCCTTGCTTGGAGTAAGTTAGTGTGAAAGAAGCAGCAAGGAAAGGCTGCAGAAACACGCTACGCTCGTCCATCTATTCCAAGGGCAGAAAATAATCCTCTAATAACTTGGAACAACAATTGGTCCCCGATACATACATATGTAAGTATTTATGTAATATTCAGCCTCTACTCACCCAGTGATGTAATAACAAGAAAGATTAAAAACACCCCAAATTCCGTAAGACCATCGACAACCTCCTCGTCGGTGGTGTAGAGAATCTGCGATTTCTTCTCCCTCAGGTTGTAGGGCGCTCTGGACATGCTTCTAAGTAATAGATCGGTTGATGGCTTCTTTCGTCCAAGCCAGCCCCATTTTTTATCTTTCGGAGCGGCCTGTGTTTGTCTTACGGGGAGGGGGAGATCGGCTTGCCCAAAGGTCTGAGCCTGAGGTAATTTTAGTACTCGTTTGGTCAGACTCGTGGATGGTCTCTCATGGAGTTCGAGACTTCCTAAGGCTCGAGGGTGAGACAGCGGCGGCATTCCACACGATGGTCTTGAAGGGGGGCTAGGACACTGAACTTGCACTTTCGGTCTGTCACCCTGACCCTGTTGGGCCATATTTAATATAAAATCACCCTATAGATTGGGGCAGTCAAAAGTTTCCCTGCAACCCTTTTGGGCAAACACACACTGAAATCTGTAAATTACAAATGACAGTCACATATGACAATGCTTAGATGTTGATAGCTATGACCCAGATGTTCTGACCAGGTATTCAGAATATCCACACTGCTTCTGTGTTTCTTATTCAATTTGCTTTTAAGCCATTAGCAAATTAAATCTATGAACTGTTCTCTTGCCGTGGCCACTGGCCATACTGGCCACCCCCCGCAATGTATTCTCTCCATGGGGCAATATTTGTTGGACGAACTGTGCCATTAAGTCATGGCGTGTACCGTTGATCAGGACGATCACATCCTAATCTGTTGGGGCCAATCTACATTAGGAATGGGCACGTCGCGCAAAAGTGCAGTGCATTGTCTGGTGCGGGCATATTACACAGTGAAATAGAACGTCCGAAAGATGAACAGATAAGGTGATTTTGACTACTCGACAGGGCAATATAACGACAATATACTCTTCGATTTATATTACATCACACTTAAGTTGTGTATAAAATACTTAGTTACTATACATACGCAAGGTAAGGGAAAACTGTAGGTAAGCAATATTATAAAGTCAGTTGACAGAATGCAAGCTTGAACTATCGAAAATTAACCATACAAAATGACAGTCTTTGCACTTCTGCCCAAGCTGTCAATCAAATTGTAAATATGCCAAATATGGAAACTGGTTATCTTGAAAACAGGCTGGGGTTAAAGATTTACCTCGAAAACACTTTTTTTGGATTCCGTTCCTCAAATCGAATTGCTATTTGGGTGGCACCGAGACTCGCAAAAATTAGCTTTCTTGCACAGCTTTTAAAGACGCTTCGATAGGACGGTTCCAAATTTTGCACGTTGAATCCTTTACGGTTGTTACCATTCTTTGATCGGGAGTTAGCTTTGCATGCTTCCATCTTACCAGCGAGGCCAGAGCAAAGCAAATCATTTGCATAGCCGCACTCTAAGAGTTAAGGGGTATATTAGATTCGTGGTAAAAGTGGATGTGTGCAACGCAGACAAGGAAACGTTTCCGACCCCATAAAGTATATACATTCTTGATCAGCATCAACAGTTCTCAGAGACTATAAGATAGAGCAACAAAATGTTGTATCCAGACTGCTGTGAATCACACTGTTTCAAGTGTATTTTAAATTTTCACCCCGCCACCCTTCGCCCAACAAAGAACGAATATCTGTGGCATCCACAATTTTAAAGATACGATAACATTAAAAATGCAGTATCGTAAGGAATGGCCGTATCGAATGGATTGCCGAATCTGGTACAGATCGGATCAGTATTATAGCCAGAATGAAGAAATTAATTTTCAGTTTGTTACCCCGCTGGCGAAAATCCTCGAGCTGAACCCTCCCCGAGCGTGCCGACTTGGCACTGGGCACTGCATTTTCCCGCTTGCTCTGTCCGAGGTTATGCAGTGTCTAGCTAAGGCAATGGTCCAGGTCTTCCCGATAACAAATCGGGGGAACTGAACCAGGGCCATGGCTGGAGGTGCCTGGCGGGAAGGCATAAAACGCTAGAGGGTGGTTCCCCCCATAAATATTAAATATTTTATTTTGTTGTGTAAAGGTTTACTAAGGTTTACCACATATAGGTTTACTATAGGTTTATAGATAGTCTGAAGTCGAAAAACGATCGATATGAATTTATAATGTCTTTAAAAGGGTATATACAAAATTGATTTCTGCTTAAGACAGTTGTTTAGATGCCCATTTTGGTGACAGCATCGGCAGCAGCCAGGCCCATTTCGTGCTCGCTGGACCCCTCTGGTTCCAGGAGCAGGATGTCGCGGCTATTCTGAAGTAGTCTGGCTACCTCCTTGAGGCGGCGCTGGAAGTCCTGCCGCGAGATCTGGCCACTCTGCAGGCCCATCTGGGCCATAACCATTACCGGGGCGTGCAGCTCGTACATGATTAGCCCTGAATCAATGGGTCACTTTAAAAGAGAACACCTGGCTTATAGAAACTCACCTCTAAGGCGGGTTAGGCCTGGCTCCAGCAAGTCGATGATAGCCAGGAACTCTCGACAGTATCGCTCCTTGCGAACTATGTCCTGGGACGACATTTCGGGCAGCAGGTAGCCCTTAATGCGTCCGTAGATCTGGCAGAGAGAGTACTTGGCCGAAAGAAGAAGGTAATGGTTCGGTCGCAGAACTTCACGATAGCTACTTGGAAAAGAATAATGAAAGATCCCGTGAATCTGATGGAAATACGCACCGTAAGAGAAAGTTCTCAAGTCCTGTTATGTCGTGAACGTCAATGGACTCCAGATCGTTATTGATGCGGTCCAGTTGATGCTCCAGGTCGAGGGCGTTGGTCCGATGATCGCAGCGATCGCAGCTGCCCAAATATTATATGTCTGTTAGCACCGGAGTTAAACCCACTCATCTCTTTACTCACGCCCAATCGGCAGTTTGCTCCAGCGGCGTGACTGCCCGGACCGTGCCCCGCAGGCAGGATCGGCAGACGAGCGCGCTGCAGTCACTTCCAAGCTCCTGCGGATCGGCGCATCGCTGGCAGCGGCACCAGAACAGCTTGCCCTCGTACATGAACGAGCGCCGCTTTAGAGTTCCCTGCAGCGTGTACGCATAGCTGAGCGTCAAGGCCTCCTGTTCGCGCACCCGCCTCGAGGTCCGCAACAGTATGGCGAAGGACCGTGGGTCGTCGGTGTGCGCGGTGTTCGGGCTGCAGTCGTGCGCGAGCAGGAAGGCGCTCGGATATAGCGTTCGCGCCTTTGCCCCCTTCTGTCCGATTTCAAAGCAGTTAACGTCGAGGATGCCGCAGATCTCGTGCACCGCCAGGGCCTCCTCCTCCGTCGCAAGATCGCCCAGCTTCCACTCGTCGCGAAGCCGCACCACTACCTTCTGCTCGTAGTGTGACCAGAGCGCTTCGTTCTTGCGCCGCTCGTCCGTGTGCGACTCCATGTGGGCAATCATCGCGAACTGATCTGCCGCATGCGTGCGCATCAGCAGAATCCGCACGATCATCACCAGCTCATATAGGTCCCTCACACTTGGGGGGCTTGTGCGATCGTTGAGCAGATCCGCGGCCGCTGGCCGCCGCTCGCCGTACAGGGCGCACTCCTCAGTGGTGTGGCCAACGCGCCGGCCCAGGCCCGGGCAGCTGGCCCCACACAGCGGCCACCCGCACCCAGGGCACCGGTACTGCCCCCTCCCAAGTCCGACAGGCTGGTAGCATCCCAGGCACACAGCGTCCCCACTCACGCACGGCCCGATTGCCAGTGGCTCCTCCGTGATTAGCAGCTCGCCCGCCTCCAGCTGGCGGTTGGCCACCAAATAACGGCCAAATAGCTCGGACTGTGCAATCCGGAAGGGGGTGGAGCTGGGGCTGGGGCCATCCTCGGACTCCTTCTCAGGTGGGATCTGCTCTCCTTTGTTGTCCCTCTCCGCTCTCTGGTGGCACTGATGCCTAGCTTTGTTGCCTTTGTGGTGGACCTGCCGCAAAAAACAAAAGTGCTCATTAGTGGCGATTGAATTCAGAGCCGTCCTCTGCTAATTGTATTCTAATTGCTGTCCTCTGCCCACTTTCGTAAATCACTCGGTCCGCTCCCCTGCCGTCTTTCCTCTTGCCGATGGACTGCCCGTTGGTTTCTGAACTCAAGCTCTCTCGAAGATTGCTATCAACAGCTGGCAATGAATTGGCAATCATCCCTCGCCAATACTCGTAGGTGTTGCGACGTTGCCAATTTGCCTTACCCACTCATCCATATGAGTGAGTCGATCAGGGATGGTAAGTACACTGCAAGTACACTTATATGTACATAGTTTTCTTCCAGAATTCAAAACACCGTGCAAACCGGTTCTCAGACACTATACACATACATATGTACACATAAGTATGATTGTATTTTTATACTCGGTACTCGAAGAAGTGTTAGAAGTGGATGTGTGTAAGGCACAGATGGAACCGTTCCTGACCCCATAAAGTATCTACATATATTCGCGATCAGCATCAATAGCCGAGTCGAGTGTCCGTCCGTCTATCCTATTTCCAGCTCTGCAGCGCTTACTCATTCTCTCTTTCGCTACACACTCTGCCTTGTGCAATGTGCTCCCTCTGGCGGAGGTGTAAGAAGAAAGATGTAGATGACAGATGTAGCAAAACTATATAAACGGATAAAATGTTTTAAAATTCCACATAAAGCATAAGCTCACATATACATACATATTTATACTGACTGAGTACGGGTATACAAGTAGAGTCGCGGCACTGCAGCGACTCACAAAGTTCCCTCTCATTTTATATGTAGTTAAGCTTGCTTTTTTCCATATATGTATGTATGTTAAGTCTGCTACACCGAGTATTGAAGAACTTTGCAATTCTGATAAGCTAATTCATGCAGCTGTTACAGCTTGCGACTATAAGGACTTCCAATGCAAAAGTTATGATTTAAAAATCTCAGGAAAAGTCGAATAATATTTGCTTCTTCTATTTGCTCTAGGAAAATTCATATGTTCATATCGTATTCGCTGGTAAAACTCTTCGTGTTAACGGTAATTCATGATACATTTTTGGAGCTCAAGTCCATCCATGTTACTGGACAGCTGGCTAATCACAATGGAAACTGTACGAGCTCTCCTCCGATTCGATAATGACTCATGACCATTTTTCATATCGGTCTGTATGTGCTTGGCTGAAAATCAATTTCCATATTTCAACCATCTCAACTCAACGCCTCCATATCGGATTCGGATTGGGATTCATTCATATCCGACTTATTTATATCTCAGCCTATACACATTGCGTTCCGTTATAAATAAAACAAAGCATAACAATGCGGACCAGTGCGCAGTGGTGGGGCATAGCTGGGGCATCATTCCGATTTCCTTTCCCAGACCATGCCATCACAAAAAGGAACGGCACACGCCGGAACCGCACAGTCAATATATCGACCAAGGGATACCCTCTGCTCAGAGTTGAGTCATGTGCTCTTAGTTGAAGGTAATACTACTAATGAACTACTACTACACTGCATGGCGTCAGTCTTATAATGAGAGAATAATCGGAAAATGCGTTGCCCTGTCCTTGGTTACATGTGTCGCAAGAACTTGTGTCATCGAAGTACACATTCCCAGACTAAACAAGTACATGTGTCACGGTGCTAAGGTTCAAGAGTCTGCCTAGACAGATGCATACATATGTGTATTAGATATTTTTCATGGCTATTATCTTGTAATTCGGCTGTTGACGGCTGTTATTAATCCAAAAGTTATCCGTATGAAGTCTCAGAGAAACAATTCCCATTCATGTACTGTACCAGTAGTGGGTACCAAAAACGACAGAAAATAACAGCAGCAACAACAAATCAAAAGAGAAAGCAAAAAATCCAAAATAGATTTTTGTATACTTATGTATGTCTTGATGAGCTTTGATTACTTGTGTTCAACGGGCAAGTCGCGGAGCAACAATCGGGAATTTTGTTACCCGTGTACGTTATTTTCCATGTCATTAAAAGACATGCCTGCACATACCTATGCATCCATACATACATATGTATGCACATATGTAAATTTGTACGCATGTGAATATGTATGTACATATGTATACATATACATATACATATGTGTGCATATGTGTGTGCGCGGATGAATGTGCAAGTGTTTACATTTTACTTGCAAGTGGCAACACTCGTGTTTGCTGTTGTCTGTGCGGCAAATTAATTTTTAATTATACCGCCGCAATGGCACCCTCACGTCCATCCACTACCACCTGCGGTGTTTACTTTTTTCCTTCCTGGCATCGCTTTATTTGTGATTAAATTTGATTTTGTTGTGTGTTCACTCCTGTTCTTAATTGATTTTAATTGATAATTTTTCAGCTGTGAACACGGATAATTCAAAGGCCGGGCCGCACTTAATAAATATGTTTAACAACTTGTCAATTAATTACGCCTGCAAGTCGAACGAAATAAGTATGCCAGCGAATTGGGTGACCGGAGATTGGAATGAGGAAAACAAAATGTAATTCTGGCAACGCGTTGTTCCAACCGCAACGCCCAAATTGCAACTGTCGAGATGTCGTCGAGCGTTGGGAGACGACGCTGGGAGACGGCGCTGTGTCAAGTTGTTGGCACCGATTCAACAGTCACAGCCCAAGGCAGACTCGTACAGCAGCGCTCACCACTACACACTCGAAACACTGACATTGTGTGATAGACCGACACCCCCGACGGAATATTTAAACAATTTATGATTTTGAGATCACTCTGCTCTGGCCAAAAACGGAGTCAAAATATGCACACCTCTCAATGCCACAGCCGACAGATGGAGGAAGTGGATATAAGGGCAGCGTGAGCGTACTACTTACATATATTAGATCACTTTCCAGCAAGATCAAAAAAAGCGTACCACGTACTTTTCCATGTTCCATGTATACATATTGTAAAAAAGTTTTTAGAGGATAAAAATGGTACTCCAAGAAAAGATCGAAATGATCGTAAGCGACAAAAATTTAAAGTTCAATATATATTTTAATCGATAACACTACTCGAAAAAATGTAACATTTTCTTCCCGCTGTGGACCAAACTGGCTTTTTCTGATCAATTTCGGGATTAACAATTTTTTATATTATGTTTATTTTTTTTTATAATTTAGTTTTTCTTAAGAATTTTTGAAATTTGGTATATGTTTTCATGTTGTTTTCAGAGGTAGTGCTTCTATTTTCAACATAACATAAGTATCTTATATCTGGTTGCATAGAACTTTGCAGTTCTGAAAAGCTGAAAAATGCAGCTATAAATCCGACCCAGACTTTTTGTATCTGCAGCTTAACGCCTGGAAGATATTAAGCTTTCAAATTCAAATTTCATCATTATTTACGATATACCATAATATTATTAAATTAAATATGAAACATATTAAATTTAAATATGAAACATATTAAATTTAGATATTAAATATATTCAAATTAAATATAAAATATGTATTATTTAGACCTGAACACTTTGTACACCGATAGAAAAAAGCCCTGAAATTTTAATATTTTCACTTAGATTTTAATATTTATATTTATATTTATATTTATTTATTACATTCAATATATTTCATATTTAAATTTAATATGTTCCATATTTAAATTTAATATATTTCATATTTTAATTTAATATGTTTCATATTTATATTGAGTATATTTCGTTTTTGAACGAATTGGTTATTATTTTGCCTACGTGGACTACATTTCAAGTCCGCATGGTGTGAATTGGTTAAAGTTTTCAATTAGAAATAATCGCAACATGAGTAGAACTGCATTGGTTGTGATTATGCCCCTGCGCAAAGATAATTTAACTGTGTATTCAAGGCGGCAGCAGCTGGAACCAGTTGGAAGTTCGAGGGACATACAAAAATAATATAAACATAGTTAAAATAAATACAAAAAATATTTAATTTCATTTAATATGGAATATTTAAAATAAAAAGTTTTTCTTTTGATTTTAAAACAACAATTTTGAAATAAAGTCATATTCAATTTAAATATGAAACATATTAAACTACAAATTTAATATATTATATTTATTTTAAAGTGTTTTGTATTAAGATTAAATATGACCGCATTAAAAAAGACATTTTAATACAATTATACTTGAATCAATGTGAATTCTATTTAATTTTACTATGTTTGTATTTAAAAATCGCATTTTAAATTCAAATATGATTGTAGTTATTTTTCCTATGCCTTTTTTCTATCAGTGTATATTCAGCTTATCGTCTGGGAAATATTCATCTTTCAAATGCAAAATTTATAATTTTTGTGCGGTACTAAAAAAAAATTGTTGAAGGAATACCTTTTATAGCAAATGTAGCCCCTTTTTCATATATCTAAAAATATTGCTTGTTTACTTGGTATGTAATTCCAATTTGGCTGCGTGTAAAATTCAAAAATGTCAAAGCAAGCATTGCATGGTGGGCCAGCAACATTTCAAGCGGTAAAATGTGATTTTCGGAGGATTGGTCAACCAATTGTAGCTCAGCCCTAGGTTCTCCCTAGATTTTATTGAACAATACTTTAAACGACGCCTAATTAATGCACTTATACACAAAAATGTGGGAACACAGGATTTCATTTATTTCGACTTTTCCTGAGTTCTAAAAGTCAAAATTAAACAACAACAAAATACCGCACAAAAATCATGAATATTGCATTTGAAAGCTTAATATTTCCCAGACGACTTAGAAGCTACAAAATGTTAAGGTGCACTTTACAGCTGCATCTATCAGCTTTATGGAATGACAAAGTTTTACAAAATTCTTTAAAAAAAAGTTCTGTTTAAGGCCTCAAATCTATTAAAAATTTGGTTTGGTTTGAACCGGAAAAATGGTATAGGGTGGTGTTATTACAGACAGAATGAAGAAATTAATGGCTATTCCACCCCCTTTCAGCGTTGTAGCCGCAACTCATTCTCTCTCTCGCTAACACACTCTGCCTTATGCAATGTGCTCCCTCTGGCGGAGGTGTAAGAAGAGAGATGTAGATGACAGATGTAGCAAAACAATGTCAACGGATAAAATGTTTTAAAATTCCACATAAAGCATAAGCTTACATATGTATACTGACTGAGTATCGGGTATAGATGTAGAGTCGCGTCTCCAGAAGCGACTCACAAAGTTCCCTCTCGTTTTATTTGTGAATGAGTTATTATATACTCTAAAACACTAATATATGGTGACGATGTTAAAATCTGTCGACCTAAATTAGTTAAAAATTTGGTGTTCAAATAATCTTCTTTATCTGAACCTTTGTAAATGCAAAGTTATGACATTTTGCCATCGCGCTTCACACTTTTTATCATACTCTCTAAGAAAGCATGTCCTGGTTCGAATTTGGAAATCAAATGCCCCTGGAGTTCTTTTTGATCACAAACTGTTTTTTAATAGCCATTGCAATGGCAACAATGCATTGTTGAGCTAGCGAGCTTTTTCACTAGCGTAGTTTTGCGATATGTTTATTAACGAGACGATGGTTGTTCAGATTAAATATGGTTTATTGTTGTAAACAGTTTGGAGGCGATACAGAGTCAAAGGGATAGCGAAAGGTTCGAGTTAGGTTGATGACGAGTCGGTTGGAGAGTTAGCTGGATTCAAGACGGGGTCAGATTGTAGACGCGGGGGTCGGTGCAAGACGGTGTCGGATTTAATAGCTCGATTCCAAGTGATAGCAAAGCAAAGCAAAGGAAAGAAAGAAAGACGCCAGATGAAGAGGCGAAAGAGAACGGCTGCATAGGCTGCTGCCGTGCATGAGTTTGTAGGTAGATGACAATTTAGTACAGTGGGCAGTGCAAACAACGCACAATAATAAGGATTTACTCTATTTGGCTACTGGCACCACTGGCTATAATCTATGCATTTGTCCACTATTTGGCTGCGTAACCAAACAGCCATATAGTCGAAAATTTAAACAAAGCTAAGGGTGTTTTAGCTTTTGTAAGCGTTTGTCTAAGGAGTTTGACGGCCCTTTTTCCCTCCTTGGTATGTCACCAAAACACTGTACGTCTCCTTGGTTCGTCCGATTCTGGAATATTGTTCTTGTGTGTGGAGTCCACAGTACAAGGAGCAACAGTCCATTCTCGAATCGGTCCAAAAACAATTTTTGCTTTACGTAATTTTAACTGGGACTCGGAGAGAATCTTGCCACCTTATCAATTGAGGCTACAACTTTTAGACCTCCCTTCATTGCGCCATCGCAGAATTTGTAACGGCGTTATGTTTGTACACAAGCTCCTAGTTGGGCTTGTTGACTCACAATCACTTCTTGGCCAGCTTGACTTTTCTGTTCCCCTTAGACCTATCCGTACCTTTCGTCCGTTTCGTTTACCCTTCTGTAGGTCTAATTACGCTCAACACGACCCTTTTCGAATTTTATGCTCTAATTATAATAATCTTTATCATACCCTATCCCTGAAGAGAGCCAGTAAGATATACCTGAATCTACAATCCTCTAGTTTTTCATTTTTTCTTATATCCCCTGTTTTCCTTTAATTTTAATCATAGTTTATATTAGCAGATAGTTGCGGATCCTCTTCAATAAATAGTTCTGGTTGATTTCAATTTTCCAGGTACTGTTTGGTCTTCGGTAAACGAGTCTAATAATCTTGTGCCCATGTCACGACATGACTTTATCGACTGCTTGCTAGACCTATCCCTGTCTCAAGTCAACCATGTGAAAAATTCCTATAAAAAAGGTGGTCAAAAGAGTTTGACGATCACTATAAAACGAAGACTCTCTATATCTCACTCGTTCGTCCGATTTTAGAGTACGGCTCTTGTGTATGGTTCCCTCAGTACAAGGTACATCAGTATCTAGGGCGGAGTAAAAATTGTATTTTTTTTTAATATTTTAAATATTCTGTATTATTAATCGATGATCCCTACTTAAGGTGTTCGCATTCAACTTTAATTTTGAGAAACAACGTAGTATGAGACAAACTAATAAAAATGTATTTCATGTATTTTTATACCCGTACTCAAAAAGAGTTAGGGGGTATATTAGATTTTTGGTAAAAGTGGATGTGTGCAACGCAGAGAAGGAAACGTTTCCGACCCCATAAAGTATAAAGTATGTATATTCTTGATCAGCATCAATAGCCGAGTCGTAATAGCCATGTCTGTCTGTCCGTCCGTCTTGTTGAGCGCCTGGATCTCAGAGACTATAAGAGTTAGGGTAACCAAATTTGGTTTCCTGACTCATGTGATATCACACTGCTACAAGTGTATTTCAAAATTTCGCCCCGCCCCCTTCCGCCCTTACAAAGAACGAAAATCTGTGGCATCCACAATTTTAAAGATACGATTAAACTTAACGAAGTATCGTAGAGAATAGCCATATCTACCAGATGGCCGAATCTGAATCAGATTGGATCATTATTATAGCCAGAATGAAGAAATAATTTTTCAGTTGCTTCCCCCACCTCCTCCAGCACGAGACCCGCTACTCATTCTCTCGCTCGCTCGCACACACTCTGCCCTGTGCAATTTTCGACCTTTGCGGAGATTTATAATCTACATTGTGCATGTATAATCTACATTTCAGATGTGTATCGACATTGTAGCTGTAGGTGAAGATAACAGATGTAGTAAAAAAAATGTAAAATGTAAAGTATTTTTAAATTCCAAATCATAAGCTCGCTGGAGTGGAGTGGTTTATGGAACATTATCGTCTGCTCCAGCATCATTTGTTTTTTCTAATCACGACAGGTTGTCGCCCGATACTCGTTTAACGGCAATACGGCAATTAACGGCAAACACAAACAACAAAAATTCACCATGGAACAACGTAACCATGGCTTCGCCATTCCTGAGCAAAGGGAAAATCCCACAGCGCAGCGGCGACGACAGCGACAGCGCCAGCGACAAAGACAATGACAACGAAGCAGCCCCAAATGCACTGGCGGGCCTAGCATGTGGTGGATGGAATGGATGGTGGAGCCAGCCGAACGTGTCGCACGAGTCGCACGGGCCAGCCGAAAGGCTGCCGCTGCCACGAGGCTGCTCCCAGTGACAGGGCAGAGAGAAGCAAGCTTTATAACTCACCACGGCCAGCAGCTGGCACAGTCGTCGGCCGGCTATCCTTTCGTGTGCACTTGTAACAGAGCGGACCCGTAACGTAGCGCCGACAACGCGTGCCGCAAAAGAACGTAAGCAAGCGTTCGAGGTATCTGCCTCTGTGGAAAGGATCGTTAGTATGCTTGTTGTTGCTGGTACCTGGATTTCGAGTTTATTGGATTTTCAGTTGGGGAGCACGCAGCCACATCTGATGGGTGTTTTTTGTTTTGAATTTTTTTGATAAGTGAAACTTAACCGCTTTTGTGTCGCATCCGCATCCTCATCCGCATCCCGTGTCCCGCGACTGTGCCTGTGTATCGGTGTGCGCGAGAAAAGGAGTGAAAAAGTTATTAATCATTAAAGGACATTTATGTCGGGATGTGACACACGTAAAAACACACAAACACAGAGGATAAGTGCCACATATTCGCCAACAATTAAGTTTACTTTGTATTTGCATTTTCGTGGTCTTTTTATCTGAGGACCGCTTTGCTTTTGTGTTTTTCATTTTCTCCCGGCCACTTATGTTCTTCGGGTAACTACTAAATGTTTTTTTCACAAGTAATTTTGCGCAGCTTAATCTTACCGTTTGGGAAAAATGATTCTTTCAAAAGCCAAATGACAATTTGTTGAGGAATTTTGTTGTATTGTTTTTAAAAATTTTAAAACTAAAAAAAAATTATTTTTTTTGTTGTTCTATGGATTAACGGCTCAGCTAAGCGATCACTGCACAGAGACAGAGATGCCGATAGCGAATGGTATGGATTTTGGGAGGTTGCAGCTAGCCTTAGCCAATTTGACCAAAATACCCTAAACGACGCACAAAAATAACATCACTGTTTAATGAAACTCTATTACTTCCCAAAAAGTTATTTAAAACTATCTTTAAAAATTCAGTTTATGAAAAGGGGAAGCTTGCCTCTGAAAGAAGTTTTAGCAATATATCACTTTAAAAAATGTTCTCATGGATTTTTGGAGCTCCAAGTACATCAAAAAACTTGAGTTTGGTGCCATAGTTTCATTGGCTGTTGCACAGTGCTATCTATTATTTGATGTCAATGCTTTGTGTTGTCCCGTCAGATGGCCCTGCGACAAAATGTGATGCTTGATTTGGAAACTCCGGCCAATGCATTCATTATGTATCATATGCTAAGTGACTAATGAATAAATGACTGGATATTGGCAAGTGATGCTCTAAGAGATTCGTGAATGGGTCCAATGTACACACATGAATCTGAATATATTTATCGTAAAATTCGCTCAAGCACGCAGATTAAGTTTCTTGAGTTTGCCATTTCAAAAACTACAATAATTAACTACAATACAATGTAAATTCGTGATAGAGCTTCTCTGTATGCCCAATTTCTGGCCGATGTATTCAGGCCGGTTTAAGGTGGTTTGAGGCCCGGGGCTCTTTGATAATAATTTTTATCAATTTATTTCCTTCTTATAATTTGTATTGTAATTTATTATTGTAGTTTTTGAAATGGTAAGCACAAGAAAGTTAATCTGCGTGCTTGAGCGAATTTTACGATAAATCAAAATGAGTAGCAATCTCGTTTTCGATAGGCTACAATTTTTGTAGGGCCGATGGATCAGAATTGCAATATGCAAAACGCAAGTTTAGCCTTGACACAAACATTCATAAAATACCATTATATTTTAATTTAAATAAAAACCAAAAACATAAAATAATTTCATTTTCGGAGCTCCAAGTCTATTAGAAAAAGTGGTTATAATGCTTTGGTTTTTTTTAGCTATTTACTTCTTAGCTTCAGTTCTGAACTTCGATGGGATCTGTCCAAAAAAAGCTCAAACTTTTCTGGAAAAAGGGGAAATATTTTGAAAGAGGTCAAAAAATTGTATAGCACATTAATCTTTAAAATTTTGGGAAGACCTACGCGTTTTTACTTGGATGCGAAAATATAGGAACAAAAAACTACGGGAACACGCACTTTTTGTTAATTCAAAAAATTCACACAAAAATGGGACAACGACAAAAGTAGGAAAGCAAAGTCAAAGAAATCAACCCTGATTAGCCAATTTAAAGGTTTTTAGCCTTCTTTTGCTAGCCAAGATTTCCCACCAAAGGGGTTTGCAGCTAAGACTGGCCAAGCTTTGGTTAGGCATTCAGTTGAGTATTCTCCAATATGTTCACCCAAATGTACATTGTAGAATGTACATAAATAATTTTATAGTCTTGATCAGCCACAAAAGACGAGTCGATACAGCTAGTTCTGTCTGTTTCTTGGCAAGCTAGTGTATGTACATACATACATACATACACGCATATACATATGTAAATACATATTTGTGATCGCTTCAGTGAACGCTGAACGTGAACGCTTACAATTCTTTATTCGTTATGCTCGATGTGGCTGATTTTCAATTGAAAATTATGCAAATGATTGCTGATTTGTAGGCTTTTCATCTGTTCGACAATCTACATGCTTACATATGTATGTACATACATAAATATGTGAGTTGACTTTTGAAAGTTTTTTGTCTTAGAACGAATAATAAGTTGTAGCTTTTCCAGAAAATATTTTGGATCGTTGAATAATTTACAGCATTGAAAAGCTCAATTGAATAGCTCAATTCATTTGCTACATGTACTATGTACAAACATATGTGTGTATGTATGTGTATGTATGTATGTATATGTATACTGTGGCAACTGTGGCAGAGTCTGCACCGACTCCGTTTCCTTTAAATGCGAGTACTTAAATAAGCCAAGACACAGGGAATAAAGTGGAGGGGCGGGACTCTCCTCTTCTCGCCATGGCAGCACTTTACGATTATATTGAATCATCCCGGTCACGTGGAGAAGTGAAGGACTTACGAGTTACGAGTCGCGAGTACTCAACGACATTCACTGGCATGAGGACTGAGCTGGAAGGTCGTACACATGGATGTATGAACGGGATCTGGCAGTCCTACTCGGACGCTGACGCAGCTGTTAAACTCTCAGTGTCTCTGCCGTGATTCTTTTTGACAACGATTTATGAAAATTGAAATCCCTGTTTTATTATCCCCGACAAGGCCTGAACTCGGACACTGCGATGGCGATGGCAATGGCAATGGCAATGGCGGCTGGTTCTCCATTGTTGCCATTTGAACAATATTTTATGCAAAGTGGACTAGCACAGGAGCGCTTCATAGTCGGGTTCGACCCGTTTCCCAGCTCCTCCCTTGGCGGCTTTGATTTACAGTCGAAAGGTAGCAGGTTACTGCGTCCCCCCCCAGCGAGTGAGGTGCTCGACCTAGTTTGATTTCGTTTGCCGTGCTTAGAGCTCATATTTGTGCGTTGTCGATTTTTCTGTAATGCCTCCCTCTCAGTATTGTGGCCCGCCCCGCCCCGTTCTTTTTGCCCGATTGTTCCTTGGATTTTGTTGGTTCGATTTACCAGCCCGCACACAGTTCCATATCCAGCAATAATCCCGATTACCACCCCAATTGGCCATTGGGCCATTGGGCCATTGGGCCATCACGGCCTGTTATCACACAATTCACATAATTCAATTTTTAGTTTAATTTCCGCTCTTGGACGTAAATTTAATTTCCATTACAAATACATTGCTAGAAGTGTGTGTGCCTGTGCCTGTGTCTGTGTCTCTGTGTTTGTGTGTGTGTGTGTGTGTTGCTGTGTGCCACGGGCTCAAATCAACAAAATCATACATACTCGTACATACATATGTGCGTGTACATATGTATGTACATATTTGTACATATATGCATGTACATACATATACATACATATGTATACAGGTTCGACGTACAGCGACTCCAACTCCAAGCCCGGTTCGATTCGGTCAGATCAGTGCTGCTCAAGAATGTCGATGGAGTCGAAACCTCGTACGTGTCCATGGCTGATGGTGCTGCTACTCCTGGGCACGGCCATGCCGCTACCACCGGCAGCGGGCGGCTCTTGCCGCGAGGCACAGCTGTGCTGCAACGGACGCGACTCCTCATGCGTGGTCCAGAAGGCCCCCGTCAACGCCATCATTGAGGACCTGAGCGATAAACCCTGCTACTGCGATCACGCCTGCCTTAAGTTGGGCGACTGCTGCGATGACTTCAAGGACCACTGTGGGGGTGAGTACGAAGAATGGGGCAACTTTCTGGGACTTCAATCTGCAACATAAACACAATGCACCAATCTTAGATATTAGATATTCTTTAATGTTCTGTAGGAGAACAGTCGACTGGGAGTCGAGTAGATACTCGGTAGTCGGTGCTTAAGCTTTACACTTTCAACTTTAAAGTGTCTCTTATGCAGATGCATGGAGGATGACAACTGGAATTCGTTTACTTGTTTCACGCTCTGAAAACTTCATATAAACTATATTTGCGCTATGGATGAGGCCTTAAGCTTATTTGTTCATGATTTGTGGCGAATGGTTGAACAAATGGTTTCCGCAATTTATGGAATTAATTGTTTTTATTCTAGTGGAATGTGACAATACATGTAGCGGGTTGGAATACGGCCAATTATTTACGGCCTGCCCATCCTTTCGGCCTCACATCGGATATTGCACATTGGAGTTTGCTCAATGATGGAGATAACCTTACGGGGAAGAGCATGCAGTGGGAGCGTGTGAAATATGTGCGTTGATTTGTCTTTCTAGTCGAGCTGGTGGCAGACACAAGATACACATTGTTTTGGGTTCTGGATTTTTTGAAACTAATCGGTTCAATTGGCAATCTGTAGCACCCCCGCATTAAATAAGTTTTATTTTGGAAGTGACTGTACATGCAATTGGCGCTGGATGATGTTGCTGGCGCAGCACCTGGCTGGGTGTAGAAGGGGAATCGATCCGCCCGGAGTAGGTGACAGTTGTGCTGCTGCTTACGATTCGGAAATTATCAAAAGTCGCAGTCGAATGCGTAAGAAAAACACCGCAAGCTGACGACTGCCGCAGCCCAGCGCAAGTAATCAGTTGCTGCTGCTGTTTTTTTTTCAGGTTTTGTTTGTATTCTATTCAAGGGTTCTGAATGGGTGGAATCCTTTTAGTCTGCGGGCGACCCACCCACCCACGTACCATTTGCTGTGAAGCTACTTGGATTACACTCCCCAATTGTTCGGAGCTACCAGGGCACTGCGGGCACTTTTTGGCATTTATTCTGCCATATTTAAGGACTATTTATTATTTAATAAAACTCTTCTCCCATAGAATACAACGAACATTTCCGATCTAAAGAAAGTAGACGTTGGCTGATAATACAATTGATAAGTAAATAAACCTGAGAGTCGGATCCAAAGTATGCCCAAATGGGAATCTAAAGTTTCCACTAGAGATATACAAACAAATTTGCACAAATTACTGTCTAATTGAATATCTATCTAATTTTTATTAAATATGAAATCATTATAATCTCGTCAGCGTCCTGTTGTCGGGCGGAAGGGGCAATTGGTTGTGGGTTGACCAGGCTTCCAGGTGGTGTGGGGGAGATTTTTAAACGCCGCCAGTGTTGGCCAACTTCAGGCGAGAAGGGTTCATTATCAAAGGGCAAACTTAAGTGATGTGTAAACTTACCGACACATCGAGGCAACCATGCACACAAATAGAAGCACACACACACAAGCAAACGCACAGACGCACAGACGCACAGACGCACCAACCTAAGCATAAGGAGAGCCAAATTGAACGCGGAATCCTCGACATGAGGCATGGCTCCAGACATAACTACGACTATGGTCGTGAAAAAACCAACTTAATGGCCATATCCCTAGCTAAGAGTCTACATTCATGGCTCGTTGGCCCCATGTGTGTGTTTCTCTGTGTGTGTTTCTGTGTGAGCGTCTATATGTGTGCGTGTCTAAAGATACAATTTGTTCTTCTGGCTTTTTTTTTGTTTCCCTGTTTTATACGGCACTCAAAAGGAGTACAGGAGTACAGGAGTATATGTAGTTCATGTTCATGACAATGTATTTAATAACCCGAGGGAATTCTTTCCATTCCCATATACTAACTCCATATATACATTTACTTATGTATACTATAGTTCTTGATAAACATAAATGGCCAGCTAGAAAACGAAACATGTGGTAAATCATAATGCCTGGGATATCCATAGACATATGTAGGTACATATGACATATCTATGTTTGTTCAAGTTGAGTACCGTATCGAGTACCGTACTGAGTATCTCAGGGTCGAGTCTTTGAGGGCCGCCCAGAGGTTAGGGGGGAACACAATGGCTAAAGGGCTTTAATTTTATTACATACAACAAATAAAGTCAACGAACATACGCCGGCCTTTCATATTAAATAAGACGCAGACATGCGAGATACTCGTAGAAAGATGCGAGCACAAGGACAGGCAATGGAAATAGTAAGGGGGAGCAATAGGGATGGAGCGGAAGGATGCACTGGCACGGGTAGGGACTTTGGCCAATGTTGGCATTTTTCGTGCCAGCTGCGGCAACAAGCTAAAAGATGGCAACACATAAAAAACCAACCCAAACAAAAAGTAGTAAAAGTGAAAAAAAAGAAAAGGACAAACCGCCGCGGTGGCAGGGAACCAGAAGTACACAGGCAGGATCAGTAGCTGTGCCTCAAGAGCCCCAGAAGGCATCGACAAAAGTTTATTTAATTTTGCATAAAATTGGATTTAATTCGAAACTACACACTGCTGCTGGCAACTGGGTGTAGTCTCAATTATATGAAATTTAATAAACTATATGCACAATATAGAACAAATGTTTTTGAGGCCTGTGATTATAATTGCTAAATCTATATGCTTTATAAAAATCAATCGCATTCGTTTGTCTGTAGTACCCCTCTTTGTACTCCTGAACGGCTAGACAGGACCATACATTTTTACAAATTTACTGCTGAAGTAAGTAGAATGTAGAAGCTAATCTCAGCCTAGTGCGGGAAATCATTGGAAAACTGCAAACGTTTTTCCATCCAAACAGCGAATTGAATTGTTTAAAATTAGCTTGGATCCTTGGATGCCTTTCGACAGTCATAGCATCTGAGCCGACAGTGGACGAAGTGACTGTTTTTATCGTTGTAGAGCATTGGCCATTCCAGGATATTGGAATTGTCGAGATAATAAATTAAAATGCGGGTCAGAAAAAACACAGGCGCCACGAAGCGTTGCAATATCCATTGATCTTTTAGGAAGGCGAGAACGATTACCATTTCCACGCAATACGATAATTCCAACGGACGTACCATTTTAATTTTAATTCCAATTCCCCTGCTCTGACCCTCGCGACGAACATTAACAAATCACACTGGTAATTTGCAGGATTAACTTAGTGCTTCGCTTCCGTGTTTCGCGCATGGACAACTGTACGTCGCGTTGTTTACCAAAATACATTACACTGAATGATCAGCAACAAAGTACTGCAATTTGTTCTAAATTTGTCATTAATGCAACCAAAATTTGACACAGCGAATTTTTAAAAATATTTCTTCCATATTTATAATACTTACGTAATACGTACCTAGAATTGTGTTTAGAAAGAGTTGAATTTAAATGTTTGGTGGACTAAATCTTGTTCTATACTCGTTGATTCAACTCAATTGGTTACTTTCAGTCCTTGTGGAACATTTTAATTTAAAAATGAACTGCAAAAATCTAGCAGGTGACGATTACATACATATGTACGTATGCACAAGTATATGTAATTTTATCATTTGTACGTAAACGTAAGCGGCAGTATCGGTATCGGAGTGCCACATGCTTTCTCCCTGTCTTTTTGGTATCGCTTTTCGCAAAAGGGTCTAATAGGCGTGGTACAGTTTTACTGTGGTAGGTGAAGGCCGAGTTTAAATCTTTCATTTATTTCAACTCTATTGCGCTAGAACGCTGGTGTGCGAGGGCAATGACCGAAGATGGCTCGAGCGCACAGTGGTCGATTCTGCCAATCTGCAGGCAATAAATGAAAATTAAAATGTTGAATCTTAATGGGTGCGAATTTTATTCAAATAACTATTTATATTGATCATAGTTGATATGTATTTAATATTTGTTTTTCCTGTGCTTATATGTATTAGTGGTAGTTCGTTTCAGAACTTAACATTTTTTTTATAGTGTTATTACTTACGTAACCGAGACTTGCGTGAAATAGATCTTTTGACATCCGTCCATTGCCGCATTCAATCTTTCTGTATTTATGAGACAAGTCTTTTTGAATCTTTTATGCTAAAAAAACGGAGACTACGCGCTATACGTTAATTTGTTTATTTTTTTGGGCAAATGGCAGCTTAGAGAATCACTCTTTTCGCGAAAAGTCGCAAGGTTTGTTAGCAAATAGACAAAACATTTAGTAATATAAAATTAATTTTTATAATTAAAAAATAAAAATTAAAAACTTTTTTTAATATTCCGCTGATTTATATTCCAAGCTACCAAACATTTAAAAACAAAGCTAGTCATATATTTTTCGAGTTAGTTAGTTAGTTGGACTTTTGGACGAACATGGGGCTTACAGCCGCGCATCATGGAACGGCCGGGAGGAGTGACTACTCTGCTTCAGAGTTCTCATGGAAAATAAACTTTAAAGGACACATACTGTACAGGGAGAAATGGAAAAGTAGCACTGCCCTGGGGCAGAACGAGCTCTCCATTTTCACCGACGGGTCAAACACGGCCGAGGAACTAGCAATCAAAATATCCCTTAGACTACCAGACTGATGCAATGTATTCCCGGCGGAGATATATGGCAAGCGGAAAAATTGGTATACACCTTGGAAATACCTCCGAGGAGCATAGCAATCTGTATAGGTGTAATAGGTAATAGGTATAGGTAATTCGGCGTCGTGTAAGGAATTATTCAATAAAATCTATGGAGAGACGGCGGATCTAAAATGTGTTGATCAAACCTCCGGCCTCTGGCCCACAAAGCAATTCTTGTTTTGCAATTTTTGAATTTTACATGTAGCTAAATTGGAATCACATACCAGGTAAACAAACATTGCTTTGTGATATATAAAACAGGGTAAATTAAAAAAAAAAATCGTAAAATTCGGAAATTTCGTCTTGCAAAGTTAATGGCTTATAAACAAAACAATATACCTTAATCTTCAAAAACTGCATTTGAAAGGAAAATCTTCCAAAATTTAGTCTGCACGATTACTT